CAAAGATGATGTTCAAGCAATATGCATGCGAACAGAGTCCTGAGTGCCTGAAACCCGGATGCTCAAAATACTTGTGGTAAATCAATGTCCAATTTCTAAAACTTACTGAATGTTCACTGAGCAAATCGAGTGTCAGAAAATGCAGCAAGAACCAGGAAACAGGAGAACCAAACTTAAATGACATTCCAGCCAAAGAGCAAGCAAGAATCTGCTAATGTGTTCTGCTTTGAATTCCAATTCTTTCCAGAGGGAAGAGGCCAGCCCACCCCCTCATGCTCCTTCTACTGCCCACAAAAGCCACAGACATCAGGTGTGGTGTGCAGACCCCTGCTGCGTATGAGGGGAGCCGGCACCTCATTTGTTTGATCAGAAGGCAGCATGAATGTGCATGTTGTGATAAGGACAACACGAACAGCATGCGGCTCAGTGGGTTCATTAAGATGTTTTCCCTGCACTAGTACCAAATACAAAGCAACATCGCAGGGCATCTGCCACACAGGAAGTCAGAGAGCAGGGGCATAGGTGGCACAAATCTCCCCTTTACCCCATAAGTCCTGGAGTGCCACTGCCTACTTTAGACCAACGGGGGCAAGAGAAGGCCACCCTTCTACCCCCTGGCTGCTTAAGGAAGAGCTTAGTCTGCTGTTTTTAGTCCAGCTGGAGGCCAGAAGGAACCGCTTCCCTGTGAGCAGACACTATGCCTACTGCACCAGTAACAGGATCCCCAGGGCTACTGGGCTCCTAGTTCCAAGGTCTCTGAAGGGACCAGTCAGTTCGATAGCAAAAATCAAATCACAACAGTTATGTTGAGGCTCTGCACTCAATATATACCCACTGCCATCAAGTCAATTTTGATGAATAGAACACGGTAAGTCTATGGGGTCCCCAACACGGTAAATCTTAATGGGAGCAGACGACTTCATCAGAAGTGGCTGGGGGGTTCTAAATGCACAATGCTTAACCCACTTTGTCATCAGGGCTCCTAGCTCAATATCTACCTTGAGGCATATCTGCTGACTTGTTATTCTTCATAGTCTTGATACTCTGAGGACTCTCTTCAAGACCCGGTAAATACTTAAAGGAAGACAAGGGTACCCAGCCTTCTGTCCTGGGGACAGCTAACTGTCATTGTTAACTCTGTCAGCTATCAGTAAGCGGTCACACGTGGAATTCAAGAACAAAGTGGTTTTAACACAAAGCTGGAAGCACAACCATGCCACTATTCTCTCTCTTGAGTGATAGAAGTACCTATTCAGGCCCCAAGCCCTTCTATCTGGGAAAAGGAACAGTTTCTAATAAGAAGCTAAACAAAACAACATAATCTAGTTGTCATATAGTTGGCTCCCATTCATGTGACACCCAGATGTCAGAGTAGAACTATGTTCCAAAGGGTCATCAAACGCTGATTTTTCCCCCATGGACATTGCCAGGCCTTTCTTCCAGAGAACGTCTGTGTGGACTTGAGCCTGCAACCTTTACCCTCTGCACCCGAACAACCTGAGCCAGAGTGATTGCTCTTGAGTCTCCTCCAAAGCACAGTGGGTCCATGTGTACACAGTAGAACAGTGCTCCATATCTGTGGCAGTTACCTAATCTCCTGTCAACTTGAGCGAAGGGTTAGAATCTGGCCTGCCAATCAGGTCATAGCCAATCATGCATCTGTGTGGGCATGGCTTTCTCCTGAGGATTCTGGGAACTCCTGGCTTCTTCCCTGGAGGCAGGACACACACTCTCTCTGCTATACCTTCCTGGTGACAAGCCACATAGAGCTATGCTGTTGGAGCCAGAGCCCTGGAGCTGGAGGAGCCACATGGAAACCCACGCCAGCGCTGAGATGCTTCCACTGACACTGGATCCACGAGACTTCCCACCCACTGGCCTGTGATCTTCGTGAATTTGGCATCATTGCATGTGTTGTGTGAGTGTGAAGAGGTTTTTATAGGCTGGTATCAGACATGTGGACTAATATTGGACTGATGGACTTGATCTGGACTAGGATGGATGTTGTCTCAATATACAATTGCTCTTCTATATAAGGCTCTTTCTTATACACATATGAGTGTCTCTGGACTTCTTCTCTAGTCAATCTGGATTAACACAATACCATTGGAATTTTGAGAACATCTCAAGAACTGCTTTGACACATTGAACGCTGACAGAGGCTTGATGAGTGTGGGATAACACCAAGAGTATCATGCATGAAGAAAACAAATGGTCATTAAAAAGACAAAAGAGAACGAAAAAATAATAGTGGGTATTATCAGAAGAGATTCTGAAACCTGCTTTGAATCATAGGACAATGAAGGCAAATAGAAGAAATGATGAATGGAAAATCTCATAGGCTAGCTTGGGGAAGCAAAGTAAAATGTTACAATGAAATGGATAAATAGCTAGAGTTAGAAAAACAAAAAGGAAGAACATGTACAGCATATCTTAGACTGAGAGAAATGAAGAAAAGATTCAAACTTCGAAAGGTTTTATGTGTAAAATACGGAATGACACAGGAAGCATCCAAAGAAGAGGAAGAGAATCAACAGAGGCACTGTACCAAGCAGAACTCATTGACATTAAAGTACTTCAGCAGGGAGGATATGATAGAATCAATGTACTGAAGGAAGAGGTCCAGCCTTCCTTGAATGCATTAACCACAAACAAGGCTAGGGGATTAAAGGAATACCGATTGAAATAAGCCAACAAGCTGATGAAGCACTAGAAGCGCTCACTTGTGTATGCCAAGAAATTTGGAAGGCAGCTACTCGGCCAACTGATTGGAAGAGAGATTCATATTTATACCCATTCCAAAGAAAGGTAACCCAACATATCAAAACAGCAGAGATGGTACCTCTTATATCCTGCTGGTGGGATCGTACAGTGGTGCAACCACTATGGAAAATAGTAAGGCACTTTCTCAAAGATGTAGAAATAGAGATACCATGTGATCTAACAACCCTACTGCTAGGTGCATATCTTAGAGAAATAAGAGCTGTGACATGAATAAACATAGGTATATCTACGTTTATTGCAGCCTTCTTCACAATAGGGACCCGAAAGAATGTCTCTGTTAGAATGGGAGAAAAATGTAAAACAAAATTCAAAAACAAATCTGCAGGAACCTCCCATTCTCTCAGCACCCCTCTTTATTGGGAGACCTTCGCTGGGAGAAAGACTAAGGACTGTACAACTCACAGTTTCCTTTCAAAATCTTGGTTTCTGTTTGAAATTCATCAAAGCACTTCTTCAGGACAAAGCACCCAAGTGCTCTTTTTATGGGGTGGACTTGCATGAAAAATGTCATCTGTCTCGTAACTTGCACTCTCAAGATGCGTCATTTTCATAGGAGTTGAAAAATATCATATTTATTCCCATGGAAGGGAAGTGTTGTATTTTGGTCTTTATTCAATATAAATGAATAGGTAAAGAATTCCCCATGACATGAAGCTGAAATATTGTCCCTGGTGCTCATAAATACAGCACTGTATTGTCTAAAATGACTTATCTCAGTCTTGACTGTGGGCTCAGATTTACTGTACAGTTCATCAACTTCTCAGCATGATGGATAATGAATGTTTCATTTACATCGCTAATTGCCAAGCCATGGTTCCCTCAACCTTTAACCCGTATGCTTTATCCCATTATCACCATATGTCAATATAATTGCATTTAACATTCCAAATGATAAACTTTCTTCTAGACAGAGGAAATTTTTTTCACAAAGAAGCCATGGGAGAGTGGCTGATAAAATACAAATATATTATATGAAAAAGCCAGTGAATAAACTCGAATAATAGGTAGATTCTTATAACACATGAAATTCACCTCAGGACTATTTAGAAGGAAAAAAAAGGATGTGTGTGTGTGTGTGTGTGTGTGTAAATCTTCTCAAGGATTTATCTTGGCTGCCTTAACTCAATAATGACATAAAACGAGATCCCCAAAGTGGTGCAATTCAACTTTCTGTCCTCTGTAATATACAACTAACTTTTTTTGTGGAAACATTGATTGGGTTACAATGAGAACCACTACATAATCCCATTCTATTTTCTGCATTATCTGATTTTCTATCAGTAAACCAATAATGAAAGAGTCTCTTCCTACCTCACAGCCAACTCAGAATTGAACAAATTAACTGAGAGCTGTGAAAAGTGTCCGAACTAGAGAATCCTCAACTAGAAGTACAGTTGAGAGACCATGTTTCGTGGTGCCCTGTATCCACGATCCATTGACAGCCAGGAGGAAGGTAAGACTAAAATAAAGCTGGGAGCTTACTAGGTGTGGGCTAAAGGGAATCTCATTTTCAGTGGCATTAGTACGTGTCCTGCATAGATTTGCACAAGGGCATGTGAATTGCACAGCAACACTGGGAAGTGTTTGCTATCTTGCCTTGTTTCCCATGCAGTCAATGGTCTGATACTGCCACCATCTCTGGGGGTGGATTATCAGATACATCCCTTGGCTCCCTTGTTCCCATAGCAAACCCTGTTAGTCCCAACTTAAAAATGTATCTTGAAATAGTCTTCACCCTGCCCATCCTACTTCAAGCCACTTCCCCTCTCCCTGTCTCTGACAGAGCCTTTCTCTGCCTCTTTCTGTTCTTACCTCTTTTCACCAGTCATTTGCTGCTACTCTCCTTAGAACACACCTCAGCACATTTAGAATAAAACACACATTGTTTACTAGGGTCTACAAGACCTAGCTTGCTCTGACTCCTACCACCTTTCCCGTCCCTGCAGGCACTCTTGTTCCTAACTCACCATGACTCCAACAGTGGGCCTTTCCATTTCCTAAAGGCATGGCTGCATTTCCTGTGCCAGGGCCTTTGTGTATGTGATTTCCTTGGCCAGCAAGACTTTCATTCTTGTTCTCCCCAGACTACTGTGACATACCCTAGATTGATAAGCTTATCTGTCTGTTATCTAGCGCTACCATAACAGGCATTCCACAGCCAAGTGGCTATGGCAAACAGAAATCTATTTTCTCACAGTTGAGCAGGCTGACCATCTTCATTCAGGCATTGGCTCTAGGGGTAGGCTTTCTGTCAGCTCTGGTGGAAGGTCGTTATCTCTTCTGAGCTTTTCTTCCTGGGCAATCTTCATGTGCTTAGTATCTCCCTTCCCTGCCTCTGCTTCTTTCACCTGCATGCTTAATCTTGTCTCTATCTAAAAAGAGAATGATTTAAAGCACAGCCTACACTAATACACATATCATTAGCATAACAAAGAAAACCATTCCCAAATGGGATTATATCCACAGGCATAGAGGTTAGGATTTATAGCACATCTTTTTGTAGGACATAACTTAATTCAAAACAAAATCATTATTGCTGTTCTTAAGTGCTGTCAAGTCAGCTCTGGTGTCAAGTCCATCTGACTCCTAAGGACCTACATACAACAGAATAAAACCCTGCCTAGTGGTTTTGCTATGTTTGAGCCGTTGTTGTAGCCACTCTGTCAATTCAGCTTTCTCTTTTTCTCTGACCCTCTACTTTATCAATCTGAATTAGGTTATATTACTACATTTCTTCATAGACACATCTTGTATTTTTCTTTATCACACTCAAAATCATTTAAAAGCTATGTCTTTATGAGGTCTAATTCTTAACTCCCCTACTCTAGAAAATGGATTTTGTTCTCCTCTGTCCCTGGTGCCTAACACAGCGTATAGGCACGTCACCCAGGGAGACCAGTTTCTAAAAGGAGGCAGCACGCTTGGTACAACAGTGTCAGTGAAAAAGGACCCTCTCAAACAGATGGATCGATGCAGCGGCTGCAACACGGGTTCAATCATAACAACCACTATCAGGATGGGGCAGGACCAGCCAGTGTCCAGTTCTACTGAACACAGGACTGTTGGGACCGGCTGAATGGCAGCTACTACTCGACAGTTTAAGTGTTAGCTCGTTCTGGTCTTTCACCTACTACCTTTAATCTTGCTAGTTGGCATCAACTCTATTCTGACTCACGGACTTTGGTTTCTGATAACTAAGTTTGGAACCTGCATGGTACAAACCGATAAGGGCTTGATCACTAGTTTCAACGCTTTCAAACCCAGTCAGAGGCTCCTGAGAGGGCAGGCCTGGCCATGTGCTTTCCAAACATCGCAACCTCGAAAACTACGTGGAGCACAGTCTACTCAGCGACAGCGGGGTCACCAGGAGTCAGCCAACTTTAAGACAACTAACAACAACAACAGCAGCAACAACAACAGAGTGTAGGAAGAAATAAGGGAGATGTCCACATGATGATCAGAGGCATAGGAAGTGTTGGGGGAAGTCCACAGGGACTTCAGAAACGGAAAAGCAGGGACCAAAGAAAAGCTTTCTGAAAGGGCGAGAATGAATGAGAAAGGCATTCACGGAGGGAATGTTGAGCCTTGTTGCTAATTCCAGAGCAGCAGCTGCAGGTAGAGAACAGCTGCTCTGCCCTACAGCCTGCTTTCTTTCATCTTGAGCAAGTGACATTTTTCCCTGTAACTCCCTTGCTTACATCAGTGTCTCAATAAACACCCAAACCAATAAGTGAAGAGCGAATCCACTTTGAAGCCCATTAGCCACATGCTTGTGGATGCCCACGGATCACAGTTTTCTGAGAACTTCAACACAACAAGGAAATGTTAGACTTCTTATGGGCAGGGGTGAGTGGAAGAAGCACCAGACGGAGGCCAAAAGTCCTAACTGTTCACTGTAAACTTGCTACAAATATCTTCCATTTTAAGTTCTTGTCTATGAAATAACAGTCTTGATTTAGACACCTCTAAGATCTCTTTTACTCCTTTAAATTGCATGTCTTATATTTCTTCAGTGTCTTTGAAAATCCCCAAAGTAATGCACACAGTAGGTGTTTTGGTGATGAAAGATAAAGTCACAGAGCTAGGGAAAACGTGCACCAAAAATAAACAACAGCGGAATCTGATTATAAAGTCCTTGAATTAAAAGCACGTGGTCAGAAGTTTAAAACTCCCAGGCGCTCCTAGGGATCCAGACAATACTTTCTACTCCCAGAAGCAGTTACTGTTTTGGAAACCCACAGGGGCGGTTCTAACCTGTCCTACAGGGTCGCTATGAGTCGGGATCAACTCAAGGCAGTGAGACTAGGACTTGTTATGGGGATTTCAGGAGAAAGGCATCTGTGAAGGGCCTGGTATGCCCCGGGCATTGTGCAAGGAGCTTTATACAGGTTACTCCATTTGTTCCTCCCCAAAGCCCTGTAAGATAATATTACCATTCCGCGTGTCCACTAAAGAAATGAGAGTGTTCTCACAAGGCCAACTTGTAATTCTCTAGCCAAGACAGGCATATACTTACACCTCAGCTTGTTAGCCCCTTCCACATCTCCTGAATCTTTTCTGAAACACTTTTTATTGTGAATTAGGCTTATAGGACAGATCATCAACCTTACATTCACCAACCCATGCACATTTTGTTTCAGCTCAACCCACTGCAATTCTCATTGTGCTGTTATTCCTCGTTCCACTTTGCCCCTGTGTTTCCTGTTTCCAGTCCTCTCTCTTTGCTAACCCTCAGATCTTGGCCATGAGGTAAGTGCTGCCCTTTTGATCTTTAATGGTTGATGATCTGACCAAAGTGGTGGGCTCAGTTCCAGATCTGAAAGGTAACCAACTGCCATGGTGTTAGGGTCCCACCTGTCCATCTCTGACTAGAAGGGATGGCCTCTTTCATGAATTTGAGTTTTGTTCCACATTTGTCTCCCACTCCATCTACGGCCCCAAATATGATCCTTGTCAGAGCAGTGGGTAGTTGTGGATGGGCACCATCCTGTTCTACACACATCCTCAATCTTGAGTGATGTAGCACAGAAAATAAGCTACTACACACAATACAGGGAGCTTTATAGAAATAATTATCACCTAAGACAGCACATGCTCAGGCTATCATTTTATCATAATAGATTTAAAGAAATTTATGAGGTGCAAATACCACAGGGGGAATATTTGGGGCAAATGTTCCTAAAATAGAGGGTGCAGTGTGGGCAAAGATAGAGAATCTTATTTTATCTTATGCAATAACACTTCATTTATCTACTTATCTTCCTCCAAGGGTAAAACTGAGAGGTGGAACTGGGTTGGGAGTGGGGCTGGGGTGGGATGGGATCAAGAAGAAATGCAGGAAGGAAGAATGAGTACATGAATGATGGTCGAGAAGACTTTGACTGTCTGTTGATAGGAGTTCTTGCATTACTACCATAGCTTCGAGTGAGTTGAAAGTTTGGTTTCACATCAAGTAAGCTTTTGGCAGAATGCATTCCGTAGGAACTCCCAAAGGTGGCTTTCATTCTCTGTCATTTCAACCATGAGCAAATCTACACAGCACTCTTCAGAATTTTAGCAACTCCCAGTGGTTACTTGTCTCAATTGTTAGATGGCTTTGCCCCCTTTGTTAATGGAGGAGAAATCAGGCACTCTTGCGGGTCACTGCTGAGGGTCACATTTGCCAAAGAAACATTTACAACCAAAAAACTACTTTGGGCCAGTTGTTGACAGCAATGCTTGTGGTTTCTCTGTGTGCGTGTATGGGTGAGCTTGCCACTGTGTGTGTGTCTCTCTGACCCATTATTGCAGACTTAAAAACAAGCATGTTTTCAAATGGTGCTATGAGTTGCCAATGATGTATCACCACCGTATCTCATTATTCTCTACTAAATGTGATAATAATGTGATCTGTTAACATAAAAAAGTTTGACTCCACAAAAGCAGCTGGAAATGGACAACCGCAATATGCATAAATCTAACTCCTACCATCGGATGCACACTGCTTGACACATATTGTCAGGAGCACCTCGCATCTGCGAGTTCTCTTAAGCAAAATGCTCGCATTAGTTCTCAGCTGGGGCTGTGCATCAGGCAGGCTGGGGATATTCAGTTCTCAGCAGAAGCCGGAATTGGAATGCGCTCATCTTTGAGGAGGCTTTTACCAGGTGTGGGGAGGACACAGGTGCTTCCTCAGACACTTAGGAGCAGTCGTCCCTCTCTGTTCACTGAGAGCCCCATGAATATGGTTATCTTTGGATTGCTATTCACAGGGGGAGAATGATGAAAGGACACCAACAGCAGGCATTCAAAGAAACATTAGTTTGAAGTGGACATTGCTCAAGAGACACAGAGTGACAAGGAAGTTTGGGAAATATGCCCTTGTCCCTTGAGCCACCATCAACAGCAAGGCCCAAGACAAGGACCTCAGTCCATCAGAATTAAATATGGAGGACCAGTTGCAGGAGTTTAAGTCCCAGATGACTGGTGCTGGGTTCTGGCCACCTCTGGCTCTTTCTCGAGTCACCTTGACTTCCATCCAGTCTTTGGTGCTGTGTCTGGCTGCCCAGCCTGTGTGCTACTTGCCAGTTCCCTGTCCACTCCCACTTTGTCCTTCTCCCCTGGAACACGAGTAAGCCACACAGCTTTATTTCCAGCCCCACAACTAACCTGACCTTCCAGATCCTAATTTACTATCCCAGTCGATCGTAAATGAATTTTAAGTACTTAAAACCCCAAATATTCAAAGTTCAACCCATTGTTTTCTTCTCTTTCTTTCCCCTCCTGGATTTGCTCCTCTCTCGTTATTACTGATTACAGCTAACAGCATGATCCCCAAAATAGTCATGCACACTGGAAGCCCAGGAGCCATGCGACCAGGGGCGCAGGCATTCAAGGGCTGAGAGTCACTGCAGCTGGGAGGATGACAGAGTGTGTCTTGTTGACAGACAGGATCACTCCTGGGTCTTCACAAAGACCAGGGCAAGGCAGGACATGCTCCCTGCCTCTCAGGACCCTCTACACCTCTCCTCTCCACCCAGTAGCCATAGAACTTACTATGGCTAAGAATTTGAATTAAGAACTTTCACTTTTTATCTGCCCTAGCAATTTTTAAACTTGTCGAGCCTTTCTGTTTCCACGATTTTAATTGCCTATTCCTTAATTCCATATTATTTCAACATTTCTTGGTGTTTTAGCATATGATCGCATTTTGATTCTTTGTTGCAGCTTTGGCTACTCTTTTTCTTACTGCAATGTCCTTAATTCTTTCTTTTTTTGCTTTATTTATTATATTATTTGTTGGAATTTTATTTCCTTTACACTGTTTTTAAATTAAATACAAATTCATCGTGATTGATGACTCTCAAAAATGTGATCATTTGTTATGTTAAGT